CGTGATTTCTCGCTTTCTGTCTCTATGTCTCTCTCTGTCTGGTGAGCGCACGCGCCCTATAGCGAAAAAAAAAAGAAAAAAAAGAAACAAGTCTATGAATCTTGATGAAGCAGAAAACAACACGAAATCGAAGGTATCAGCCTTTCAGACTGAAATAGTGGTGATGATAAGATTATCTCAGTGTCTTTTTTCCCCTTGAAGTGTGTGAATTAAAACTGAGTTCTATTTCCTATTGATATATTCCAGAATTCAAGTCTGCATGCACAAGGCAATAATCAGTGATAAAGACAGATTTTCTTTTCTTTTCTTTTGTTTTTTTTAGGGGTAAGAAGGTGCATGTGTTTGCAAGAAAAAGCAAGAGAGAGAGAAAGTGAGAGAAAATGAGAAAGCACCTCCCCACATGGGATGGCCATGCTGCAATCCCATCTCCTCCGTTTCCCCTTTGGGGGTTTTAGGCACGCACATACATATGTTGGGTATGTTCCTCAAGCCAACAAGTCTGGGACCTGAATTGTGCTGTTTGGGACCCGCTGCCTTAACCTCCACTCCCCCCAGCTGGCTGGTGGTGCTATTCATGATATTTTTCATGAAAACTCAGTGTAACAGTATTTCAAATGAACACAGGAATATAAATTTAATGTATAAAATATAAATTATTTCATTTATTCTAACAAATTTACTCCATAGGATAATACACAGACAGAATAAAGCCTCATGTTTAAAAAAGATTTCCTAAATTAAGATGCAGTTTAAACACTTACAAAGGTTCCCTTGCATATACTGACATCTCAGTAAAAATAGGTACGTAAATCCATCATCAAGTTTATAAAACAGCCTATATGTGAATATCCACTCTGAAATATTTGTCTCCTTTACATTTAATAAATTTTCAGGTTTATAATCAAAATGCAATTTTGTTCGATGCTGGACTGACTTTTTCTCCTTGGGAATTTTTAGTCTTTGATTCACATTTGAATTTGTGTTATATTATTACCCTATTTTATAAAGATCTCCATCAGCACAGATTCTGAAATTTAAGATAATTTGTTCTATGCATCCTGCCTAAAAATGTAATATTTTATTATTATTTTTGCCAAATTTGCCCTTCTGAGACTGCAAAAACAAGACAGTGGCATGAGAAAGAGGGAATGAGGCAAGAGTGCTTCCTTTGTGTGTCTCAGATTGGAGCTGGGCGTGTGCTCCCTGAGAGCTCGCTGGGAGCTGCCCGAGACCCACAGCCCCGTGCTCCTATAGCAAATCAAGGATTATACTTCAAAAACTAGGCACTCAGAAAGATATTTTTATTAAAGTTGGCATACATTACAGAAAATCACATATTGAAGTTTAAACCAAAGGAAATTTCAAGCATTGCATACAACAAATACTTTATTTTATTCTCTTGTCCTTTAAAACTTTAGTTACATAAAATAGAGCTTCTCAAGAGTTGATCAGTCACTTGCTGACCTTGTTCCAACACACAGTCTTCCCCAAGGTCAGGGGTGGGATTTGCTCTCCCAGGGGCTCTGTTGCTGGTGCATGACCACACTTGGAATTGCATTTAGGAGCCCACCCCAGGGAGAACACTGAGTCAACACCATTTCTGTGGGAGCTTATTCGTGGTTTTATATTATCTAGCGAAATCTTGGTTAATACTTTGCTAATAAAATTATATAGCTCTCTCTATATATATATTACACATATAGGAGAGCTTTTTGCTATAGGGCGCATGCACTTGCCAGAAAGACAGAGAGAGAGAGGCAGAAAATGAGGAATCACCCCCCAGGGGGATGGTCACGCTGCAATGCTGCAATCCCTCCTCCTCCATTCTCGTCTCAGGATCTTGGGCACACATGGGCACGTGCCTGGCATGAGTTTTAAGCCACGGGTCTAGGACGTGAACCGCGGTCGACTACGTGGGAGTCCAGCGACATAGCCAT